ATAGAGAGAGTAATATTTTTTTTTCAGACCTTTTTTTAGTGTCATAAGAGCAACAGTGAGATTGGCTTTTCAGTTCAGTTTCAGGCTGAATGAATGGCTGAGAAAGTGAGAATAGGGTTTCGTGATACAGATGAACTGATTTCATGATTCACTGTAGCTGACAGGTACATTTCAAATCCTCTCTTGCTTTCCTCAGGCAGTGTAGTCCTGCTTTCTTCTATCAGCCTTACTTCTTAGCAAAACTTTTCAGCTTGCTATGACTGCAAAAAGGGGATTTTTTGATGGGTTACTTTTCTGCCAGTTTAGTGAGTTGAACTGGCTCACTGAGGGATCAGACAAGTACCAAAGCAGTGCAAGGTAGGAAGAAGAGTGGAGAGGGGAACCTGTCTTTTTGGCAGTAACGTTTTAGAACATCTCAGTTGTATTGTAAAATACTATCTTAAGAGATAACATCGTCAGGTGTTATACAAAAACCTGGATTTGAGCTATCAGAGTAAATTTTAAGGACAGTATTAAAGAATTTTGGATTTTAATGATTAAGTACAGTGCTTCAATAAAAAAGTTGAGAACTAATCAGTGCAACATGTAATCTCTTCTGCTATTCAGATGTAATTGCTTTCCTGCTCTTGGAGGAAGAGGTGGATGTGTTTTCCTTGGTATTTAATGCCATGCACACCTTCCCTAAAAATGAAGAGATTCAGCAACATGGATGTAAAGCATTACACAAACTTTTTGAGAAAGGTATTTATATCTTGTAGTTTATTAGGTTAGAAAAATGTATAGGTTGGGAGGGGACTGCAGATGTTTATTTAACTGCAATAATGAATTCTTGCATTCCAAATTCTTTTGTGTACTATATCTGTTCTTTGAATGAGTTAGCACAAAACAGATTTTCCAAGCTATATCACACATTTTCTAAATTAGAGCAATGAATATGAAATTTTAAAAAAAATCAAAATGTCTCTTCATTTCTGACTCTAGAGTTAACTGAAAAGATGGGATGCAATGTTAGTCAGTAACACTGGAACAAAGAGTAGTGACGTTCGATTTTAATTCTCAAAAAACATGATTGTTTATTTAAAGACTGGCAAATTTTAGTAATGTGTAAACAATTCTAAAATCAAGCAAAATGTTTGCACTTTAGAAAAATACACGATTCTGCTTTTGATCCTGACAATGCTAAAAGATGAGTATGTATCTGTATGTTATTCCTATGTTTCTTCTAGAAATGAAGTCACCACATACTGAATTTCTGCAAAATTTTCAGGAACTGCGTGTGTAATGACCAGAAGTCCCACTGTTGTAGCAGCCTTGCTTTGCATTGAGTTTCTGGCTTCAAAATAAAAATTGAGAAATACTAGCACTCTTACCAAGTCTGCTGTACTCCTTTGCTTCAAAGATAGTCTCCAATTCTTCAGATTTGTTCTTTCTGGCACCATTTTCTCTTGCTTTTTCTAAGTCTTCCTCCCACACATGTACGCCTGGAATTATCTTCTGCGTTCCTTCCTCTCTTCCACTCTCCCTAAATACTGTTGTTCTGCTGTATTTTCTCTTCAGTCTCCACAAAGGTCTGAGCTTCTTAGGTTTTCTGTGCATGTTTTTTATAAGTGACTGATTTTTACAAATCTACAGACTGCTCCGGGTACAGACCTGCATACCTCCTTCTTGATGGCAGTGCTAATGTAACAAGTTCCTAGGCTGCCCCTGGCTATTTTCTCCTGCCTCTGAGCCACCTTGTCAGTTATTGTAATGTGAATGTTTGCCTAGCCTTAGCTTGAACCAGATTCAGAAAATGATTCTGCTTATGAAATTTAAAATGTGTCGTTCTCTCTCAACCTGGATCAGTTTCCTTATCTGGTTCATTGCACAGCCATGCAGCTATGTCAGTGAAAATGACAGGGGGCAGGGATGGAGAAGCCTTAAGCCATTATTACGATGAAGGTAAGATATTATTAAAGCATGGCTATAGTCTTTATGGAAAGAATTCCATTACCAAAATTTGAGAAGTGAAATAAAATGATGGAGTATAAAAAATGGCATTTCATCAAATTGTTTTCACTCTATGCTGAGCCTTTTTCACAGAATGAACTTCAGATATTCCTCACCAAGACATTATATAGGTGAAGGAAAGGCTCAGTTTTTAGTAAAAGAAGTCATAACTGTGGAAGATGATATGTATGGAGAGTACCTTACTTTCTGTGAAACATGGGAAGTAAATATAAGGAAACTTGATAACATGAAAAAAGACAACTGTTTTTGTACCATATTGATATGAATTATGTCTTCAAAACATACTGTATCTCTCTTGCTTTTCAATTTAGTTCCAGAAGAGCAGCTGACTGAATTTGTTGAAAGCAAAGATCATATGATCATATTGAAAGTATTCAAAGAGTTTCCAGAGAAAGAAGAGGTGATTCTTCCTGCACTTTATTCATTACATTCCTTAGCTGGTCCATGTAAGTGCATTACTGGAAGTTATTTTCAATTCCTTACCTCCTATAGTGTGCATCAGCTCACCTCAGTTTGCAGTAATCTTTCAGTGATTGTAAAAAATCAGTGAGAACTGGTTGGGAGTTGCCAGACAAATCACTTTCTGTTTTCTTTAGGAAATACTGATTTGTAATTTTTCACGGGAAATTTTTGTATTCAGCCATTCTGATAAAGCTGAAATCTCTCATAAAGAACAGAAAGAGACTGTCTTCTGCTTGGAGTCAGTGATAACAAAGATGCTCATCATGGTTGTAGAGGTTAAAGTTCAAGACCCTGCCCTGTCCATTTTTAATGCTTGAAAAATAAAACATATTTTTTGGCTAAACAAATCTTAAGTGAGTTTGGGTAGCAGGTAAAGAACACTGTTGGCAGAGGCTGTTCCACAAGGGGAAAATCGCCCACGCAAATCCAATTGCCAGGGCTGAGGAAAGGTACCTGGGCTTAGACACCCCCCTCTGATCATTCAGTGGTGGCTGCAATGAAGGGCACTGGTAGCACTGTGCACATTATAGAGTCTTACGGTGTTCTCAGGTGTTGTGCAATAAGACCAGAAGAAAATGTCTTTGTTATGTCTTGTCTTCTGATAACAGCAGTCCCTGTTGTGGGTAAAACCAGGCCCTGAGAAATGTGCTTGATGATTTGTGTCAATTTGTTGACAGCAATTTGATCTTCTTGACACAGAGGCAGCTCTTGTCAGCTTCCTGCTGGTAGTCACAATTTTGGCAAGCATAGAGCAGCATCCTGCTCTCCGTGTCTTCCATGAGGTACATAATGTTGTACTCTTACAGATGTGGTTCATCACAAAGCCTTGCTCGTGCATCCTATCTGGCTCTATGGGAACCGTGCTGGCCCCGTGTATGCCACAAAACAAGAACTAGACTGGAGTGTCCCACATTTCATCAGACTCCAAACTATTTAGTTTCTGTTTCTCAAACTTCTTGCTGTTCCAGTTTGTGTTTAAAAAGTTAAGTATTCCTTGAGCCAGAAATAATTTTACCCTAGCCCAGAAGTTATTGCCATTTTCTAGGGAAGAAGATGCCAGATTTTAAGTGCTTTTTAAAATAGTAAATACTTACACAAAGCGTAACAAGAGAAGGGCATGACAAATACCTGCTCTAAAGTAGGTTATTTATTTTGGGACGCTCATTTAATTTAGCACGCTCATTTCTTATACGAAAGATTGAAAATAGTCAGAGAAACAGAGATAGCTTGCACATGAATGTGCAAAGCTAGGCTACTTTTGCCAGCATTCATACTCTTGGTCTGTGACATCCCACAATACCTGCAAGAAAATGTATTCCTTAAAGGCCACCATGGAGAAAATAATTCACTGTAAGTACATACTCTAGCTTATCCAGTAGTAAAATGTTTGTCTCCCCATACCCTGAAGTTCAAGTCTCTATTCCAAATGAGTTACATCAAGGATTTGTACCTCACTATGCCTTCTTTCACTAATACATATGTAGACTTTGTTCCAGCTCATATGTCATGAGAAATTGAAGGGTAAGAGTTTATTCCAATGCGGTACAAGAACTCTTTTAAATCTCAGTAGTTTCGATAGAATGAGAAAATGCTTTGCTGCTGACCGTCCTCCAAAGTCCACAGGGGGGTGATGGGTCACAGAATGTTAGCCATCTAAATGGTTGTCATAGGCAGCCATCCAGGCTTCTCCTCTTTAATGGGAAGAAATGGACACCTCAAGAGGAAATTTACCTAACCCTAAGAGAGGTATCTGTTACAGGTGGGATGAATCACCATATGGAGTGCTCAGATGTCTTCATCAATTGTTGTGAGAACCTAGATGACCAAGTTTTGGTGGTTAAGATTAAATGAGATCCATTCTACCTCCTTTTCTCTAGCTTGTTCTGGGAAATGGTGGCTCCCTGCAAATGTACCATTGCTTGGTTCTTGCAGGATTTAAACATGCAGTTAGTTAATTATGCTCTCTCTGTAGTAAACAATTTTAGAATCTTTTGAACATTTTAATATGTTCATAATTGTCACCTGTGAAGTGATAACTTACTGTGAAGTGATGCAATACTATTTTGTGGTACACACCTTTAAAAAGGTGTTTTCAGTTGAGAATGACATGAATGAATCGCTGTCATCTTCAAGCATTGTGGAAGGTACCTTCCTTCACTATCAAACAGAATGCTTCAGAAATGCTTCCCACTCAGAGCTTGCTTTTCCAACTTACGGAGTATCATTATTTAATATTCAGATATATATTATTTTGAAGATCTCCTGCTGCTTTAAAAAGACTAATTATCTTTTATAATACAGTTGTGAATATTCCTCTTACATTGTATACAGGAAAGCCAAGCTGTTGAAAGAACAATTAAGAAAGTTTATAGACCTCAGCAGAGTAATGCTAACTCCCTTGGAGTCAGTGACAGGACTCCCTTTCATTCATTGGGGCCAGGATTTTGTCCAAGATTTTTTGGGTTCATATTCTGTCTCATACCCTGGATATACATACTACAAGGATGCTTTCATACACTTTTAACCACGATGATGCTGTTTTGTCTTAAATTATTTTATGTGGGATCGCTCTGTTCTCAGTAGGAAAGGATGTATTCTGTCTTTTTACTGGCTCATGTGAATGTCCTGTTGGTTTCCGTATCTGGCCTGTGTAATAAGCAGTAAATAGGGTGAGCGTGACCGAGCACTGGCACAGGTTGCCCGGAGGGGCTGTGGAGTCTCCATCCTTGGAGATTCTCGGAAGCTGTCTGGCCATGGTCCTGGGCAACCTGCTCTAGGTGGCCCTGCTTGAGCGGGGGGTTTGGACTAGATGACCTCCAGAGGTCCCTGCCAACCTCGACCATTCTGTGATTCTGTGAAATACAGAATTTGCAACGAATTTCAAACTATTGCAGGAGCATTAGATGAACATTTCTGTATCCTCAGTATGCAATAGGCATATGGTAGAACTAATTTAAATTAAAAGAATAACTTGCTAACTTGCCCCCTAAAAAAGAAGGAGAACTTAGAAAAACATGATTAAATCAAATGAATGACACTTATTAGAAAAAAACATTTCTAAATTGTTTCTTAATTGTATGCCCCTGGCAATATTACTGAAATACTGTCAAATGTTTACCTGATCACAATTATGTTATAAAGACCATTTTTGAGATTGAATTAATATTTATAAAACAATCTGTTCAGCTTTAAGAAAAAAGTTAGTAAGAGCAGTTTGTGAGGAGGTTTCTGTTACATGGCCTGATATAGAATGGAACAAATCCATAAATGTTAATATGGACTCTGAACTTAATGAGTTATTTCCCAGTGTTGGTAGTCATTAACGTCTTCTATGGCAATACCAAGGAAAAAAATGCCACCTTTCTCTCAAGTTGCAAGGCAAAAACTGAAACATAGGCCCAGTTTCTAAATAAATCTATTTAAATAAAGTCTGAATTAGAACCCAATCAACATGGTTTTTTTTCTTAAGAAGCAATTTTTGTTTCTGTTTCTTTAGCCAGCAATGTTGAAGTGCTCATGTCTGGAAATGTTCGCTGCTACAACGTCATAGTGGAAATGATGAAAAGTTTCCCCAATAGTGAAACAGTTCAGGAAGTGAGTTGCTGTTTGTTGCATAAGCTTACATTGGGTAAGTTCACAAAGTTGTTTATAGTCAGCTTGCTCTGACTGTGTAAGAGTTGGAGTTAACTGATAGCAAGTGTTACAGGCAACAAGAGAACTACTATTCCAGTTAATCCTCAGGGTGATGTATAGCTCCATGTCTCTAATGATGTAAACGTGCTGAGGTAACACTGGCCACAGTCAATATGGTATCCTTTTGTGTTAAACATTAGTAACAATGACAGAAGCTGCCATAAAAGACTACAGTGAGGAAAAAATGAGACTAAAGAGTGGGAGAAGCACAAGATGAGAATGGGAGATCAATAGATCCCATTCAGTATAAAGTTACTATAGAAAGGAAGAAAATTCCTTCCAGATTTCTTTTTTGAAGTGGCAATGCTGAACGTGTGAGAAACAACTGGTGCTACAGAATTACCTGGGAGGTATTCTCCAAGACTGTGTTTTTCTTCCTTGCAATGCATTTACCTTCA